TACTGAACCAGGTATACTCTTCGCCCATCATAAAAAGATATCACATATATGGGCAGAAAACAGAGGAGCACATCCAACTGGGAGAGAACTATGACCCCTAATGTGATCTGAACCATGCAATATTTAGGAAACTCAATCCTTTGTTACCAATAAGCCTGGTGAAAAAGCCCAACTGAGGGTTAGAAACAACTCCAAGGTCCCAGGGACAAAGGAAATGAGGAAATACAAGTTCCTCTGATAAAACCCGAAGAACCCATAGAACTGTAGTGAAAGATCACCAAAGGATAACAAGATAATATAGAGAAGTTCCCACTGGACCAGAACCCTCTGGTTAGTTGCCGGTACTGTTGGCAACATGCCCATCAATGTTGAATAAAACAATGATATGAGAAACCCTTGGAAGGGGGGAAAGGGAGGAGTAGATAAGGACCAGGAAGGGAAAAGAATAGGGGTGTGTCATGGCTCCAAATGTGACAAATGTGCAACCAAAGAGGAAAGGGTTGAGTGTTGACCCACAGATAACACAAGATTCTAAAGTCTCAGATAAATGATCGAAAACCTATCACCAAAGAAAATACAGAAATCCTGAAAAGAAAGAGGTTGCATATGTACCTGGAAGAAGGTCGCATAACGACTCAGAAAATCCCAACTACAGGGAAACCATGTGTGTAAAGCATGAGATGAAGACAACAAGGAGGTAATAAGGAATCATAGAAAAACAGAGAATTGGATAAAACATAATATACCTGAGAAAACATGTTGAAAAATGTCGTATTAGGCCTAAATGATTCTGCAGGAAGGGTAAGGAAAAACACAACAAAATCTGGTAGTGAATAAGGCTATCAAATGATCAGCAGACCAAACAGTTTTGGCTTGTTCAGGAGGATTAGTGGAGCAACTTTGGGAGAAGAAGGTTGATCCGTATAACAATCAATCTCAGAATGGATAATAGCAGAGAAATCAATAATGGGTCTCCCCCACCTGCAGTCTGTGAAAATAATACTAGAAGTATAACACCTGTAGTGGGAACATGAACCTCAGAAACCACTGTAGAAATATGTAAATCAAACAAAAAATGTTTCATGTAAAATATACAAGTGTGATAAAAAATAAAGACTGGATTTCTACAATGTAAAGAAAAAATTAATAATGAAGAAATCCCACTTCGGAACTTAAACTATTATAATCACGATTCACAGGAGGAGCATCAAAAGAAAAAAATGTTTGAACACAAGTACTGAGAAACGAGAAGTGATAGTTCAGTAGAATTGAATAGAGGGAAGTAACATGCATCACAAGAGTATGTTGCCCTCTTATTAGTGGAGGGTTGATGCATGACTTGCATTGGAATCAGTGAAATCTAATGGAGGGGAGATAGAAAGCTTGTTGCATGTGTACATTTTTTTTGCATATAGAGGGCACCATTGAAGAGAATAGATATCTATGTGAGAGGAGGTAATGTACCGTATCAAAATTTGAAGATCCATTCACCCCCTGCGAAGCAGTTACATGGACATACAACAGACAGTAATATTACATTTATATAGATTATTCTAGAGATTAACATGAAGACTTTTATAACTTTCCTGAACTGAGAGATGTCATTGTTACCCTGTGATTTATCCTTCTCTCAGTGGAATAGTTAAGAAAAATTCTAAGAAACTTTTCATAAATTAACTAAATAGTAGCTAGTTTCTTCTTTTAACTCAGTCAATATCTCGAGAAACCATAAAGTACAGCTCAAACCACTATATTTACACTACAATAATCTAAATAATTAATATCTGCTCTATTCAATGATACTTAAACATTAGTTCATCATCAGTAATCTTTCTGAAAAGATGTTGTGATGTCACAAAAAAGATTACAATGAAAAAGCTGTAATAATAAAACCACTACCAAAGGAGGAAAATAACATGAAAAACAATAGATAAATCATTACATGTTCAAGGAATGATAGTTTCTTAGCAAATATGAACCTCTACTTTGGATTGAGCAGAATTTCATAAGATCAAGAAATGCATCATGTACAACTGAAACTACTCTGAACTCTGCAAAAATGAAAGATAGAACTTTTTTTTTCTTCTAAATTTTTATTTATGAAAGACATTATATAAATTTTATAAAATAACAAAGTACCAATTTGAAAATAAGTATAATTTAGAAACTACTAAAAGAGAGTTGGAATTGTTTACTTCAATTTTAGAATTTTATATGCAGGTGTGAACTTGACAGCTTACTGTTCATAATAGGATTAATAATGCTACAGTTAGTTTTTATTCATTTCTGAAATGTCTCTAAAACATATGGTAAAATTTACTGATATAAGCACATAGCACTTAACTGGCCACACTCTTGTATCAGGGATATATCAAAAAATTTAATTAACATGAAATAATGCTGTTTGATGTTACAAATAAAATAAAGTCACCTCTTTTTTTAGGTCATCTACGATTTTCACATACTTAGTAACATGGGCTTCCACACTGATCACATTCTTCTTCAACTAGAAAGGAAAACATTACAGAAAAATTTCTTTACTAACAACTATGATCATCCCAAAAAAAGGAAACCAGAGTTACTCCTAATGGAAATTAACTACACATAATTATCAAAAAAGAAAAAAAGAGGCACTATTATTAAATATGTTAAATGATTACAGACAGATATGGACCTTTTATACTTTTTACTTATAGTATTATACAATCTACAATGAGAAATTGAAGAACTTTAACACTGAGATTTGATAAGTAGAGAAGAAAGCTCCACCACAACAAACCCATAGTAGAAGTTTTATCAAATTACTTATTTAGTCAAATCTACTTTGAAATAGTAATTAATTAATTAATTACATCCAACTGTATGCTCTTAGCTCTATCAGCATATTTCAAGGTGTTGTAGGTGTCCTCATAACTGATGGAAGATGGGCTGTAATAAAATTAGAATAGCATTTTGTTATTGTATGACATAAAATAGAGTCGTTATACTAGTGACATGTATTATAAAAATGGAGCTTCAACTGTTTAACAAGTCATTATAAAACAGAAGAAATTCAAACTTAGTTATACATTTAGTGACAGCATACTGATATAACTTAATCAGAAGTTAAACTACAGTAGCTATATTATATATACTTGGTTTAGGTTTTATTATTTATATCAGCAGCCTACAATACAAAAACACAAACAAGCTTCAAATTTCATCTTATAATTACGGATTAAATGAAAATGTATCATTACCCTAAATAATAATTGCAGTATTTAATAATTTAATTCTCAACTAGTTAAATGCTATATATATATTTTTTTAATTAAGGATTTGTTTTCATTTTTTAACAAAATCACACAAAGATTTATCTACACAAAGCCACCCCTAATTTTGAAATGATAGCCTAGACAGCACCCATCTCCAAATCTTGGGCTACTCCTATTTCACTGAATAATGGGTATAACCATTAGCACACTCATAACTCCAATGTACAAAGCAGTTTATTGTACAAATGAAACAAGAAACATTGGATTCACAGTCAGGGAAGAAAATAACCACAAGTTCACACCTGACTCTTTTCATTAAGGATAGTTAAGTACAACTGATCAAAAAGTTTTAAGTTTGTTTCAACTTCTTAAAATATACGAATAAAATTTTCAAGAAAAACCAAATAATCATACTGTTAAAGGTCCCATAATGAAATAGCATTGAAGTCATTTCATTACTGTGTTAGAGCATGACACTAGTTTTTTTTTTTTTTTATGATAAAGTAAGACTAGCAAATAATTTTATATTAAAAATAATTAGCACACACTAAAAACAAGAATCTTAGGCCTAGTAACAAATTTGAATTACAATGCATCTAAACTATAGATCATGTTTAACAATAACTTTTAAATCATATTTTAAACAGCTTTAAACCTTAAAATTTAAATTAAAATACAAATTATTTCACTTACCTAACTGCGGCTATCATCACAGTTTTACAGTTACCACCCAGACAGTCCTTCAATATTCTAGTCAGTTTACTGTTTCGATATGGAATATGCTGACCTTTGTTCTGTATAAATTCAACAGTTGAAGAATCAACTTCACAGAAAAACACTATCACATAAAATCCAACAAATGAAATTCTTTCTGGATAGGATGCAATAAAGTTAATGGTTAACATAAAGACTTTGAATGTCAGTTGTGTAAATTTATAAAGAAAAACAAACTACCTCTCACCCCACACCACCACTAACAAACAAATAATTTTTATATTTTATTGTAACATAGTTAGACTGATTTTTCTGTGTTATAATAACATATAAAACACAAAGTACCCAGATTTCTTGTAATGGTTCAATACATTTCAGTTAAAGAGATTTAACAGCTTAACTTATAATAATTTTACATTTTAGTAATACTGGAGTTTACATATATTGTACTAGAATAAATATGAAACTTGTCACCAGAGAAATGTGTAAAATAACCACATTCTTAACAAGTTCAAAATGATTACATTGGTCCCAATATTGCAATTTTTTTTAGCCTAGTTGTTTATTGTATTGAGTATTTTTGCTATCGTAAATCAACAGATATATGTTCCCATTTATTAATAATTTAATAAATTAAATTCATTAACTCCTTTTAATTCATCTATATTAGGCATTCCACACACAAACACACACAAAAACAGAGCTTTCAAATTTAATAATCTGCCATAGCACTAATCCTGTGCAGTAAATGTGTGGAAATGTCAAAGCATGAGGTATAGATAGAAGTACGAGTTCAAACTGTGATCACAGCCCAGTGGTCCTGGTTGTCCTCAGCCTACTCTACGCATAAAATAAGTGGCAATTTATTCAGTATTTGGTATTTCATAAGCACAACCACTATACTTTAAAATTATTGTAGTTGCTATAATTAAAAAAAAAATTGCACAAAGAGCAGTAGCTATTAGCTCAATCTGATTTGATTGATAATGGATATATAGTCTAAATTATTTATAATTTTAAAGAATCAAGTAGAATAAACAGATCAGCCCTTTCTAATGCTATACACAAACTGTGATAAAATATTATGTAGGACAATAGCCAACTGACAATGACATTTCTCGTTACAAACAGCAACGTAATTTTTTTTTATATATGTTTGAATGTTGACATTCGTATTGATTTGAAAATAATGTGAAAAAATTGACATAATTAGAAATAGACTTCAATGGTTAGTTTCCTTTTTTTCTTATTATAGGTTAATCTTAAGATTTCAAGGAAATGGCATCTCTTAGTTTGATTTAGGTGTAGAGTCCTTTACTCACCACTAATAGTTTAAAATATTACTCTGAATCTCTTTAAGATTCTAATTAAAATATCCCGTGTACGTAGATTTGAAAATACTTTTTCGTCAATATATTTAAATACAAAAATACAGAAAACATTACAGATTCTGTACCGACCTTTCGATCAGCTAAGGCATTGATACAGTTTCCAAGGGCTAGAAGAGACTTGTTGATATTAGCACCTTCTCGCTGCCTGACCCCACCATGTGCAGCTGCTGCACAAGCTCGTTCTGATCCTGCAAGGTCTATGAGACTCATCTTTGCCACTTGCACATTAGTTGAAAGGTCAGCAGTACGATTTTGTTGCTTAACACAAACCTTATAAACAATAACATTTAAATTTTATTATCATAACCCTCTCTCACTTTTACAAAAACATTCTTTTAACTCACTCAGATAAAAAGCATTTCGTAAATACAATTGGGAAAAACAATAACTTCACTTGATCTAGGATTTAAACAATAGGTTTTAGGAATTTTATAAATATTTATGTATTGAAAACACTGATAAAAACGTTTGTGTATGTGTGTGTACATATCAATTTGCCAACTACCAAAAGATTTTAAGTATCATACTTACTGAGCAAGTCATTTAAGAACTAAATTGAGTTTCATAAACAACATTGCAAAAAACTATACACGTGAAATTTACATTTTAGGTATATTGTGTTAATGAAAAAACTTTGATGTTGATGTCTTTTAGTAAATTGATATTGATATTTTGATACTTGTTTATAAAATCAAAGATTGACATAACACACCCACTACATAAGTTATCATTGAAACAATTAGTAGCTGACATACAATTATAATTTCTTCCCTTTTCTTTCTTAACTCTTATAGCATGGGCTCGGTCCCTGGGACTGACCTCATAACCATTTTGTGCCTCTTAGTTTTTATGCTATAACTTTTAAATTAGTAAGTGAAAGTTGACGTAATTTGGCAGATTATCAGGAAACATTACAATGCTTTCATATGCAAAATATCAATTTTTTTTTTATTATTAAATCTTAAGGTTTATAAAGCAATTTTTCTTCATCTCTATTTCATTTTAGAATGAACACAAATTATAACATGAAAACATAAATGTTTAGACTAAATAGCTTGACAGTTCTTACAGTCTTCTCCCCAATGGCAATTCTGTCTTTGGTGACAACATTTGTGTTAAGAAACTTCTTTCTACATCTGCATTTCCATTGGGCAATACTAATGCTTTCCTGACAAGGAAAGGCAGAAATATGCATTTCAAGTTTCCATTGCCAAGCTTCTTCAAAACTTGCCTTTAGAAATGATCCACCCTTTCCCTTTCTTCTCAATCATCTGTTTGGTACACTTTTCCACTTATCTATAATATTAGCAATAAAATTATTTTTAAACATCAGTTGTCTAGGTAAAACCCTCTACATCTGTGACAGAACCTTGTTTTTAAAGGAAGTCTAGTGATCAGGTACTTTGATACTGCAGTGTAGAATGAGTGTATTCCAAGAATTTCTTTGTGCAGGGTCTCTATTTTCATCTTGGAAAGCTCCTCTCTTGCTTCACCACAGACAATGTCTTCATCACGTAGCTAGTTTTTAATGTCAATGTCTTTTTTTTCAGGACTTTTGGTGCTATGTCATTAACAATAACCATCTCAGAATGGTACAAACGAACATTGTCATCCGACTATATAGCAGGTAAATCATAGGTTGATCAGTTTGGATCTCTTCAAACAGAAGGATAACTGACAACAGAAAGAATAATTTGGCTTTCATGTTGGGCCACCTTATTGCTTCCCTTATCTCTGACAACTGCTCAATGATGTCCCTTAAAGCTGGTCCAATGTTCAGCCAACAAACTTATGTGTGCTTTATAAAGACTTCCTCTGGAAGGTCAAGATCTATTTGTATGTCTATGTAATCCTCCCTACTTCCAAATGAGATCTTGAATAGTCTACACACATCTATTGCTAACTGTTCTGTTTCTTGACCATATTCTGTTATGTCCTTGCTGAAGGCATTGTACGAAGATTACATGTATCTACATGAACAAGAACATTCCATTCTGAATCAGTAGCTTTTACTAGCTTGACATTTTTTCTAAAGATTGTCTTTTAAACATTTGGTCCATTGCTACTCAATGTAACTAGAGATTCCAATGGCATGCAATCATCCTGTAATGTTTCCACTATATGCTTGGTAACAGACTTTCCATCTGCACAAGAAAAGAACAATGACTTGTATTATCTACACCAGACTTCATAATGGTTTTGGGACCAGTAGCTTATCAAAAAATCCATTTTTTTATTTACCTGTGTCTCAATTGTTTCATCATACTGTAATAAAAAACTTATTTGAATTTCGTACATCACAGCTGAAGTGAAAGCTGACCCCAACCAGTCCAATAGTAGGTAAGATAGCTTCATTCTTCTCATACTGAAACTGTCTACTATTGGACATTTGAACATTGTTTTGAAAGTTTCACCAATACCATCACTAGCTCTGAAACATATGGACAGTGCACAGTTTACTGCCAAGATAACTTCTGCCAACAATGTATCTTTGCTTGGTATACTGTAAATCAGAATCGTAGATTTCTATTTTCCAGTTAATGTCCCATGTACATGAACAGAAGGACCTGCTTTTTCACCTGCAAACTCTATAGTTGCACTTTCCTTCGAGGTGCCAGTGGTGGGTTGACTTTTCAACATGAATTTTGTCTGATTCGACAAAAAAAGGGATTTACTCAGATTTTTCTGATGGGATCCTGATGCATATTGAAGAATTTGTTTAAGTCTGTTATTGTGAAATTATTTCAGATTTACAGATGGTATATTTTGCCTGATACAAGGTATTTCTATTAACACACCACATCTTCAATTTGTGTCCATTTCCATGAACCTCAGACAACCACATGTCATTTAACTTAGTTTTGTCTCACGTCATAACTAACAGTTAGCAATCTTTTACCTGAAATAAATATTGGAATGTTAGATTGCTATGAAAATTTTCTGAAAGTTTGTTTTCTTTGTTTATTTAAAGTTAAGCCCAAAGCTACACAATGGGCTATCTGTGCTCTGCCCACCATGAATATCGAAACCCAGTTTCTAGTGTTGTAAGTCCGCAGACATACCGCTGTGCCACTGAGGGATTTTAATAACACCCTCCAAGAACTTGCCTTCTGTCAAATAGTCGCACAGCTTTTTAAGTAGACTTTTTCAAACAGCTTGTTTGTTTGTTGTTGTTGTTTGGGGATGCGACGCACTATGGTGTTTTCTGATTAAGTTTATTTCCCATAGAATAAGTCCACAGACATACCGCTGTGCTACTAGGGAGCAAGAGTTTCAGTTGTTGGATAATTTAACACATTTTCAACATTTATAGGTTGATCTAGTTAACATTTAACCAGCATAAATATTTTGAATTTTTCTTCCTTCAAAACTGACAATTGTTTCTGTTATTATTACAATAGTACTAAATAATGCATTTCCCCATGCTAATGAATTTATTATCAGAATCATGTTTTTAGTTTTTTGCCATTAAAAGATGAGAATAATGATTTCCTTGATCCAAATGGATCCAACAATTGAAGCTGTTAGTGACTAGGCAGGGTGCCATGCTTGAAAGAAATACAAATATATATATTGAGGAAAAGTACAGAAATATAAATTCTTAAATGACATAATTTTGTAACATTTTTTCTGCAAAATGTTTACATTAAGTACGTCACTTTTGAATTGTTGTATAACTTGTTTATTCAATTCCATAAAGATACGAAAAAAATAGGTATTTCTGTGAAATATAGTAAAAGAAAGGAGAACCTGACATCCTGAAATAGTAATAAACTGCAAATTTCCTTATTAGCAACTTACTAGAAAACCTACAACACTAACCAGCAAAATAATATGATTTGGGAAAAAAATAAGGTTAAGTATACAGAGAGAGAGAGAGTGATGTTGTAATAGCAAATCATACCCTCCACACACACATACATTTTATATATATATTATATTTATTACATATATTATTTTCATTGTTTATAATAAAGTCATCTAAACTATATTTCCTTACTTTTAAATAAAAATGCAACAAAACACCACAAGACTCTACATACAGATTCTTAAAATATGAAACTAAAATGTGGTGTGTGATTTGGTTAATGTATATTTAATAGTCCAGGAGTGAAATTCTTAACCTCAATAAAATAGTGCACATACAACAAAACATCTTATATGTGTGATTTTATTATAGTTTACAAAAAAAAATTACAACCACTGTTTTGATGATTTTCATGAAACAAATATATGTTAAATATGCAATTAAATTAAAAATTTCATAACTGTAAACTTACCCCACCTCATTTGTTTTTGCTTCCCATTCCATTGCATGACAAAAAATACATTGTGTGCGCTAATATCATGGGCAGGTATTGATCAAAGTGCATCAGCAAATAAAACATATCATTTGGATATATTTGTTATTGACCAATCATACAGCCAGATGAGACTACTCAACCGGTTTAGCACTGATTGACATCAAAGCTGCTAATTCGTTTCTTCTCGCGATGTTTTTTGCCAGCAAGAACTAATGTCATTAGGCCATCTATTGATCTATTTGAATATTTAATGACTGCTTAGATTCTGCGAGTTGTGATGTGTCTGCTTTCTGGCAGTACGATGGGAGGTATGCTGATTGGATGGTATCGAGTACCAGCAGAATTTCACCTCTGATCTAGTCTAATATGTCTATTATCAAATTACATATCTCAAATTGTTAGCACAATCTTTCGCGCATCTTTGATGTAGCTCTGTAATAGTCATAAATTAGAAGCTATTGTATGTTCCTTTTTAAATTCACTTTAACAAGAAACAAATCAGAAACAACCTGAAAGTGTTCAACAAAAGTATTATTACATGGTGATAGTGGTCATTCAAGAAATACTATATACAAGAGGAAAAATCATAGGCTCAGCATTAAGTTGACCAATCCAACAAGTTAAGAGATTTTCTGAGCTAACCTTTTTTTAAAGTTTTATTAAGTGTACAGCCCATTTTTTTTTTTGCATTGAGAAATATTTTGCCACTGATACATTTCACATTAGCTTTAAAACTTCAATTTGAATGTTTCAACTGCCAGTGGAGACATGTCAATTTTCTAATAAAAGTATTTTATCTTATTCTGCTAATAAACAAGTTTATGCTTAGAATCTGTATGAGATTCATGAGTTTTAAGAGACAAGGTACTAGTGAAAAAAAAGAAGTATGAAAATGGTTAGTGACGAGTCAATATAGATTACTTGAAAACATTCAAGATAGAATGTAATAAATATTTAGGATTTTTTTCATTCATTCACATTCCTAAATATTCTTATCACAACTTTGGACTAGAATTTTTGATAAACTTAAAATTGTAAAAACCAACAACTGAAAATTTGGGGAATTTTTACAACACAAAATAGATTGTTTAAATAAAATCTGCTCTACTTTTATTCTTATTTGGTAATAAGTGGTGTAAATAATTCTTGAGATTTTTTAAAGCATTTAACATCTTATTAACTGATTCATTTAACATACTTTAAAATATAAATTCCTAATGTATATACAAAATGTTTTAATATCTTATACCATTACTGCACAAATTTAAGTACATATAGTTGAGGCAATACATACACGTACTTGCAGGTATGAAAACAAAAAGAGATCTTACTTGAAAAACTGCATGAGAACGAGAAGACTCAGCATTTGCATCAGTTGGATGTTGAGTCCTGTTCTTGTTACCAAAGTCCAACATGTTTAACAAGTGTTCAGCATCCTTTGGCTAAAATAATTTATACTGACATTTGAACAGGCACGACACTTTTGCTACCTTCATACATTCAGGTATATATATATATATCAAAACAAAATATTCTAATTTTCTTTGTGGCAATTTTACATGTACATCCATATACTGACAGTCTATAAACCTAAAATAAACAATGCACTTTTGTTAACAATGTAACTTTTTACTTTGGTTGATTAATTCGAGAATGTATTTCCAACAATACTTACCTTCTTTTACACTACAGCTATTACTCGACTGCTAGGTTTTCCTTCCTTTGCCCATCTAAGTTTGGTCTTTTTTTTCTTGTTTGCTCCAGTCTTTTATTCCCCACTTAATTGCCCTTGGTGATATCTGTCTCGTGACACTCTCCACCTATGCCTATCCTTGTACTGTATATAAGCACCTCATTCAGATAATATTATCACTTTTTTTGAGACTGCTCCAATCCACAGTCTCTAATACTGGCTCTTTGTGGGGAGGAAGGGCAGGAGAGGGCGAGTATTATTAGAAATACATTTGTGATTTAAAATGTTAACTTCCAAAACATACTTACATCCACTCACATTACAGCTAGAATCCCACAATGATAAGGTGGAGGGGCCAGTGAGGGCATTATACATACAAAATACATATGCATAAGTTGTGGATGTGCCAATAGAAGATTAGCACCATAGTGGAGGAACCGCACTACATCCAGAACAGGTATGCTCTTAACCCAGAACCTAATTCATGCACTGCAGGTGGAATTTGACATGATCCATCATCACTATTACCCAGGCCCCAACCAGGTAGCTGTGGAGTGATGCCTTCCTAGCCACCAGAATCATGAAAAAAAGGTAAGCAACACCACAAACTCAGAATGGGGGAATCCTGTATGCCATACTCAACCTGAATCTGGTCTGGAATTACAAACACTCGTCCTCACTCCCCAACCATTTGGATAAGGGAAATTCCACTTTCCCTGAAATTATGGGGAAAACATGGAACAAACTGTGTTCAACTAAGGATCCTGGATGGGACCACTCTGTGTTCAGAATTACGAGGAGACAAGACTCTCTTCCACGAACAATGTACTGAACCAATATTGACGAAAAAGAAATATGGTGTGTGTGGGGTGGGGGTAATGTGCATTGGACCTGAGGAACAATGCTCTGGAAACAGTTCAATAGGTGAGCCAAGTTCCTTACATTTTTAAAAGCAAACCCACCAAATTTACTCAATCCAATGATTGGTAGTGATGGGCAGGATCCCCTTATACTTTACTCATGATAGTCCATGGTGGTCCAACATAGTACACTAATACCATCCGACCTGCCTTTAGGTGATCTTATGGAACACCTCATTTCTACAGAGCCTATTATGAACTAGACAACGTATACTGTGTTAATGGTTGCTAGTGCGGAATTGGTGTGATAAAAGCACACCTGCCTGGGCAACACTCGCCACAGAGTGGGATCATGTGAAAAAGAGGTAAATGATCCTGGAAAGTAAAAAAGAAACAATATTAGTAATGAAGATACTCGCACCTCCTTATAATATAGTGGATGTGGTTAAGATAGATACAGAGGGTAGTCAAAAACCCTCAGAGGAAAATAATGGCAGATCATTCATATAATGTGAGATAAAAGTATTGGGAGAGGCCCACATACCAGCCTGCACAACGTCCTCCAGAGGGCAATTCAACCAGGCTGCTAAGAACATAGAAGTGTGACGAATCTGATGAGACGTGACTTGCAGAAAACTCCTCACCTCCAAAGAGAGCCCAGAATAAGTGATATGGATCTATATTTGTACCCACCTCAATAAAGTAATCGAGAACAAATCCTGAGAAACTGAAGGATCCCAGTAAATAAAAAGTCATTGTCTAGCATCTCTAACAGCATTAATGTGGGCAACATAACACATGAAGGCCTTCACTGGACATAACAAATGATCATGATCCAATCAGTCATAGAAGTGAGAAATAGTGGTCAGATGAATCAGTGAAAAGGATTTATCCTCTTCCCTGGCTGACAATGTTTTAGGTAAGAAGGAGCTGTCTGGGTATAGGAGGAGGTAAGTAGAATGATAAAGCATCCTGTGTATGCAGTGCAAATAATTCTGACCACTAATAAAAGATAAACCTTAAGGGAAAGGTGATACATTGTACATGAGGCTAAGGGCTGAAACTGATGTTGAGAAAGAGCATGTAATGAGAAATTGATAAATGTCCATCGTGGGACTGTAAAATGACTGCATAACCTCCATGCATGAAGACTGAGCTTCAGGATGGCTGGGTATATGATGTTGGATCATAGCCAAAGAGGAAGAGGATGATTTTCCCCCTCAATAAGTCCAGAATTTGAGGCATAACCACTTTGAACAGCAAGAAGTTTGAAAACATTGACATATATGGAGGCCTCATTTTCTGTCTATAGACCATGGAATTCCAGACTGTTGAGATATGCATCCCATCCATGAAGAAAAGGATTTCTGGACAAGGTGGCAGCAGAGGAACACCTGTCATAGTATTGATCTGATATAACCACCACTCAAGATCAAAAATGTTGATCCTGAATAAGGAGACTGGGGAATCCAGTGCATCACTGGTCATTGTCATGTAGAAACCACTGAAGGGATCTCACATATTCTTGTCATAAAAGAATGAGGGATTTGAGTGAAGCCCACATCCACAAATGAAAAAGAGCCAAACATGCAGTGGAGAAAGAAGATGTGAGTAAGTGTCAGACTGCCTGTTCCATAGCATGAACACAGATAGGAGTCAGCTGAGCCCGACTGAGATAAGTGTTGAGAAAGACACTCAAAGGATTTATAGTGTTGGAGTGAGGATAGATTTACCAGCTCTGATAATGTTGCGTGCCTTGGTTCCTTCTGGAAGTAGAATCTAGGTGTGATGTTGTGCCAACTGACAAGATGATGCCAGCAGTAACCAGTTGTCCATGTCATGGTATGTTCATAAGTCTAGAGAATGTAGGTGTTGAGAAATAGCTTGTACGATTCTGCAGAACATATGGTGCTGATGGCAGACCGAAGGGCAGAGCCCTGAACTGCAGCCCCTGACCCTTGCGCACAAAATGGAGATAGTGGTGGGATGACTTTGCTATGGGAATGAGCAGATAGGCATTGGCAATATTAAACTTGGTCTTTCATAGCATTGGCAAAAAATGCCAATGCAGAGTGAGTAATGAAAACATCATGAACCTTGGAGGATCTGGGAATTGATTTTGATGAGAAAGATCGTTGACTGATTGCCAATTTCCAGTCTTCCTGGGCACAACAAACAGATGGGAATAATACCCTGGAAGAACTGGGATGATTCTCTCCACTGCTCCCTTGATCAACAAAGCTCGGATAGCCCTGGAATGATGTTCAGAAATATGAGGATCTGCGGGAGGAATAAACACTAGAGGTTGGGTGGATGAATGGTGGTGAAGATGTGAACTAAATGATCAATCTACACCCGTAGTACCCATGGATACATGGTAAAGGTTTACCATACGTCCAGACATTTTCAGAGCTGAGGCGTACGATAGTCACAGCTGCCACTGGCAGCATTCCAACCAAGGGGAAGAACCTTGTGGATATGCGTAGAATCAATTCTAGGTACCAATGAACCAAGGAGCTGATGTCAGGGGTCAGGACACTAAATAGGGCAGAATGTTCCCCTGTAGGAGCCAAGGAAAGTCAAGAAGCCTACAACAACGGGGATAAATACAGATGGGAGACATCAACCCTTGATTCCAAAGACTGGAATGCTTGGAAAAATCAAGGGTCGGAGAAAGGGGTCCTCACGTAACTCATAGAAGGTGGCAGCCAGTAGACGAACACCCTTCAACAATGCATCTGTAACCAACAACAAACCAGCCAAGAGACTAAAGAAAGTGCAGAAGCAGACAACAGAACTAAGCTAACAATGGTCCCAACAAAAGTTAGAGGGATGATAAATGTCTTAGCACTGTAGTTAGGGTCAGATGAATTCTAGAAAATCGTGATCTATTTAGGTTGACCACAGATTCCATCTTTAAACCCCACATTTCTGGGAGTAGGACTATTCTATGAGAGTCTAAAAATGCATCCATCTGGTGGTGGTAAGATAAAGCATGTTGTTCCAACAAACGTGGTGGGCAAGGCATAGCTGTCCCTTCAGATAAGTGAGCAGTAAACCTCCCTGCATGAACTGCAATATCAGGAGGAGGAGGAGAAAGAACTAAGTATTTGCCCTTTGACCTTTCCACCACCTTCAAAGGAAGGTGCAGACTCAAAAGCAATTGGAAAAGCCCCAAAACATGCTTGATTTACCAACTCATGAAAAGTAGCCAGAAGCAGCTGCTCCAAAATGGCCTCATGAAAAGCCAAGAGAATGAAGGAAGGCACTGGAAAAAGTGAATCTAAATTCTTTCCAGAATGTCCAGGATAATCTGCAAGTGCAGCCTCAGTGCCCACTGGACCAAATATACGTCTCCATCTCACAATGAATAATGTCACTAACAGCCTCAACTGAGAATGACCCCTACCCAAGACTACTGAGTGATACTGGGTACCAGAGGTGGGATAGGAGAGACATCTGGGAATTCATGCTGTAGATCAACTTGCCAAATAAAAGAAAAAAAAAGAAGTTTTTTTAAATCAATTAGGTAACACGAAGAGCACTCAAAGTATCTCCAATGGTCGTAGTACACAGAAACCCATTAGTGAGTAAAGGTGATAATATTGTCTGAATGAGGTGCTTACATACAGTACCAGGATAGCGGGCATATTGACGTAGGTAGAGAATCACTAAGGGCAAGTAAGTGAGGAATAAAAGACTGGAGCAACTGAGAATAAATCAGACCAATGCTTAAGTGGGCAAAGGAAGGAAACTCTAGCAGTTGATTAATAACTATAGTGTGACAGGAGGTGCGTGTGTTTTAGAATTGCTATTTCCCATATTTTCAAGAGACACATTTTTTCTACTGACTTCAATTTACAGTTTGTTAGCATTCATCACTTAATTTTAGAATTACCTCAAATTTAGGCAATTTGAAAGAAATCAACATATAAAGTTGCCCTTAACCCTTTTGCAATGGGCTTGGTATAATATACATGAGTTAAGCATTTATACTGTAACTTTTAATGCAGTAAGTGTATCTTCACAAAATTTGGTAGACTTTTAAAAAAGATTACAAGTCTTTAATACACATCACTTTGTGTTTGATTCAGTACATTCAATATCAGTAATTTGAGTTCCTAATTCATACGAAACTACAGACGTAGTATTTTAATATCACAAACATCTAATTTGAACCAGTGCTGCATTCAACATACTACATGATGCACAGAAATTGATGTTTAGCTGTGTTTTTAATATTTACTTTTAAATTAAGAAATTACCTAACGTACAATACTTAAATTTGAATTATAATCTACAATCTGATACCAAACTTTTTGACATAAATTCATAAAATAGAAGCTCAATAAAATTTTGATTGCAAATCAACAAACACGATGACATGGACTCTGACACGTGACCTATTGTGATTGGGTTAACTTCATACGTTATCTTTTAATTTTCTATCATTACATATACACAGGTAAGAAGAATAACTGACAATTGAAAACATTACATTCAATTTGTAACTTAGTGGTTAAAAATCATACTTTAAATATTTTAGCCAATGTTCTTCAGACTAGTTTTGTGCCTATTAAGTATCAATATATGCTTACAGAATATTAAAACAATATTAAACTATAAAAATGTTACAAATATTATACAAATTTAAAGCAAACAGCTATAAAACTTAATGCTAACATTAATCTCCATGAATGAATTACAGATACAAGGCAACTGCACCAACCTGTTAGGTAAATGCCTTCAATGTTAACATTTTCCTTACACATACTGTCTTCACCTCAAGTTCAAGAGACTGGAGAGGATCTCAAACCCCCTGACTCCGCAACAGGGCACATGTTTAGAATAGAGAATAATATACTGATCCGGGAACCCAACATTTGGAATCAAAACAATGCTAAGAATAGAGAATGATATATTGATCCAGGAACCTAAGATTCGAAATCAAAACAATGCTTACCACAGAGAAATAGACTCCCTCAACATTGAAACTGACTGTAACCGACCCAGTTGCAATAACATCCTCAGAATAAGACACATGGAGGGAGAGCCAAAGGAAAAGAACTGTAACAATCCCAAGTACCTTCACCATGATCATGGTTGAGGGAGGAACACAGACATCCATAATACAGGATGAGGGATCCCAGTCAAAGGGGTGAACTGCAATTTGATGTCAGCAGAGGATATCATGTTATCTACACCAGCAGAACACCACCACCCTACTATGCACTGAATGGTATTTTTGTATTGAAATTTTATGTCATTAAACCATTCAGGAGGATACCTCCATGGAAAGTGGTAAGGGCTCCCAAACTCCACTAGAAAAAAATGGGGGATGAAATGCGGTGGAGAGTGGGAACATCAACACCATGAAAGCAGACCATACTGATTTATTCAATACAAGGCATGGATGGGCAACTATCCCCTTCTGCTTTACCTATGTAGTCCATTGGTGATACAGTCCAGGACGGTAATATTTAATAAGCAATTTCATTGTGAGGATAACCTTCAAAAGATCTTGTGCAACAACTCATCTAAACAGTGTTCATTGCGTGGCCATGGAACATATTAAGCGCGTCGACATGGCTTAACAGTGTGGATGTTGAAGGATAAAAATTACCTTGTCAGGCAACACTTGCCACAGAGCAGGATACAAATAATGAGAATTATGATGAAAAGTAAAATAAGGCCCCTGGAAAATTCAAAGAATGGCTACAGGTAGAAAACAATATCCCACAGAGGAAGAAATGGCGACCTTATGCAAATAATGAGAGACAAACATATTAGGTGCAGTACACATGCTAGACTGTAGAGTTTCCTCCAATGGACGACGAAGATGAGATGCCAAAGAAAAGGTAAGGTGTCAAATTTGATGAGAAGACACCTGGAACAAAGTAGGGGAATAAGCCAATTGAATCAGAACAAACCACAATTTTTATAGTCTTCAATTTTGTTTGGTTACAGAGCTATTGAATAGAAAATCAGACTCCTCCTGCTACATCCTCTCTTTCAGAATTTTTTGATAGTTCTCTCTTATGTTTCATTATATATTACCTATAACCAATAGAAAGTCAAGGTTTTCATCTGTCAAATGACATATTGTATAACTTTATGTTCTGAACTGTTAGATGTCAATTTTACTCATAGTACCAACATCGTTCCTGTGAGAAAGTTAACAACTAGCTTAGATGAATTTGTAATGGCTCTTGTTGCAGAGTTAAAAAAGCCAGAAAAAATTTGAGAGGTAAGGGAATTTGTCTATTTTTTGCATGTTATTAGTCTATATTCTTTGGTGCATTATTTAATTAAATAAAAATTATTTAAGTGCATTAGTATCATTAGTATAAAAACTTAGGGTTAACCCTCTTCAAAAACAGACAGCAAGAAAAAGAAGACTGGTTAAGAATTTTATTTCTTGTTTCTCATGTTCATTCTTTGTGTATAATTATACAGGTAACTAAATTGTAAAAATATGGATCCTTTTAGGTTTCTTAAGATTAGATTAGGTAAAATAAGCAATAATAATAAACACAAGATAATTTCAAATGTGAATTTTTTCTCTCTTATCACACGCAAGCAGCTCGTGGGTAATGTAATTTGTTAGCATAATGTGAGCTGCAAGTTCCCAGAGTGATTTACAACTTATAATGGTGCAGATATTAATTATACACGGTTCAAAGGGCAATAAAACAATAAAATGTAATTATAAATAGATGTATAGTGTTATGAACTTTGAGCTACTTAGGATAAACGAATGTAGTTTGATGTTACAATATGAAGTTGTTCTAGAAAAAAAAAAAGGGTAATTTAGGTTTATTTCAATTTTTTTGGTGGTTACAAGGTCAGTCGTATTGACAGATCCCATTTTAAGATAGGGTAGAGAAAATAACACGTTTGAAATGTATTTAGGAGGTTTTAGGGATTACACAAAGGAAATTTAAAATTTTTGAGATGAAGAAAAGCATTTTAAATCTCAACATGAAAATTACTTTGCACACAGACTATTCAAACAAATATTCAATATATTCATGGACAAATCTTTATATTATTTTATTAAAAAATAATTCACTAAAAAATAATGTTTTTTTTTTAATTTAGTTGAAGAACTTATTAAT